TTCGTTTGGGCTCCAGAGGGCCTTGAAGTTACAATTTTTTTTTTCCCATATTAATTTAAAACGGCATATGCGATTTTGCTGAAATTTGGTATATTGGTAGAGTTTTATGTGGCAAAAAATGGTATTAAAATTTTGTCCGATAATAATACATAGGCGTAGAACTTGATTTTTTAAATAATTGCACCTTTAAAAATTCTACGCCAATGGAAGAAAATGAGTTTGAGTATGAAATTTAGATTGCACAACTCATTTACTTTAAAAAAGGTACTCCTGATAAGACTCGATTACTCTCATGGTTTTGACGAAATTTGCATTTTAGTAATTTTAGAACATAAACAATAATTATTAAAATACAAACTTTTTCAAAACCATAAGAGTAAATCTAGTGTTATCAAGGGTACTTTTTTGTAGTAAATGAGTACCCAATCCAAATTTCATACTCAAACCCCTTTTTTGCCATTGGGGTAGAATATTTAAAAAAACAAGTTCTACGCCTACGTATTATTATCGGACAAAATTTTATACGATGAAAAACATAAAAATGTACTTTTTTCATATCTTCTTCAACACCTCTAATCAAGACTTTTAACAAAAATACTCGATTCTTGCCATGTACGATTTTTTGAGGAATATTAATTATTTGCCTGCAATACGTATACAAAAATATTTATTGTTGATTTCCATAGTTTCATCTAAATAAAAATATTGTTTTAACACCTAATCTCTTGTTACCGATTGAAAGTGTTCTATCTGACTCAATAATTAAAAAAACAAATGCGTGGTTTATTAATATGGCTGTACAATATACCAATGCAGAATATACCGATATGTTACTGACATTAGGATTTTGTGAAGGAAATGCTCGAGAGAGTGTCAGGGTGTACTCTGAAAGATTTCCAAATCGTCGTGTACCTAGCCACCCAACTTTTGCTGCTGTTGAGAGACGTCTTCGGGAGACCGGTTCCTTTGCTCCCAACACTGTTGATAATAGAAGAGAACGTTTTGTAAGGATTCCTGAAGTTGAACGTGTTGAAGAAGATCCAGAATTAAGCACCAGACGAATTGGAAGGGAACTAGGAGTAAGTAAAGATGTCGTTCATAAAGTGCTTCGAGAACAATTGCTATATCTATACCATAAGAAGCCAGTACAAGAATTATTATTCCATGATCCTCAAATTGGTTTGGGTTTTTGTCGGTTTGTTAATATGCAAAGAGAAATAGATCCAAACTTTGTCAAGACGGTTCTCTTTACCGATGAAGCGGGTTTTACAAGAAGAGGTATAACTAATACCCATAATGAACATGTTTATGCCGTTGAATATCCGCATGCAATAAAGGTAAACCATTTTCAGCACGAATTCAAAATTAATGTGTGGGCTGGAATAATTGGTAATTTCATTGTTGGTCCTGTCATACTTCCACGAAGATTAACTGGAGAAAATTATTTGGATTTTCTATCAAATACGTTGCCAGAATTGTTAGAAGATTTACCTCTCCAACTTCGGAGAGATATGTGGTTTATGCTAGACGGAGCTCCACCACATTTTTCTTTAAACGTTAGAAACCACTTGAATGAACAATATCCACACAAATGGATAGGCAGAGGTAATGACGCACCTGTAAACTGCCCACCACGTTCCCCAGACCTAACACCGTTGGATTACTTTTTATGGGGACATCTGAAATCCACAGTTTACAGGGAACCTGTAGAAAATGACGAACAACTCTGGCAACGTATTCAAGATGCAATAAACAATCTTAAAGGTGATGAAGAAGTTATAGAAAGGATACATTTTAATTTTCTTCGACGTATAAATCTTTGTATGCGTGAAAATGGTGAACATTTTGAACAATTTTTGTAAAATCTCTATTTTGATTATGTTGTAAATAAATATTTTTGTGAAACCTATACACTCTAAATTATTAAAACAGAAATTTAGCGAAAACCATGAGAGTAATCGAGTCTTATCAAGAGTATCTTTTTAATGTAAATGAGTTGCACAATCTAAATTTCATACTCAAACTCCTTTTCTTCCATTGGCGTAAAATTTTTAAAGGTACAATTATTTAAAAAATCAAGTTCTACGCCTATGTATTATTATCGGACAAAATTTTAATTTTATTTTTTTTTTGTCACATAAAACTCTACCAATATACCAAATTTCAGCAAAATCGCATATGTCGTTTTAATTTTTTATGGGAAGAACGATTTAAAAATTGTAACTTCAAGGCCCTCTGGAGCCCAAACGAAGCAACTTTGTACTAAGGTAATTTTACTTAAATCGACTTATTTTGGTCTAAGGAATATGTGGTATGTTTTTGTAAAGACCTTTTACAGACACCCTGTATATCAGCCCAGACTATCATGTTTTAGTGCAACATAGCCCAATTTACTATCAAAACCAAATTTACATCATTTAATAATATTTTAATTTAGCATTAACTTTAGGTAGATTACTTGATCAACCTTGAACAAAAGCTTTAATATAAGCCCCTCCAAATTTAATTGGGGTTTCAATTTATTTGAATTATTACTGGTTAATTTGCAGTTAAATTTTGCATTTTTTTCTTTTTTAATTATTGTATGGGTGTAAAACGGCTTTATATTTAGTGATCGCAGCGCCCGATGCGCTTTTTGGTAAACTAAAGACAAGGTCACAATTCCCGCCCATTATTCAAACCATTTTTTTTTTCTATGAATGTACCATTCTGAATTAACAGTACGTTGTTCATCTAATGCTAAGATCTTTCGAATGACAAAAGATCAAGTTTTTCAGGAGTTAAAAAGGCTATATATGTACATATATGGTAATCAAATTTTTCATATAATTATGCATGAAACATATGTAAGAAAATCTATTGAACACTTACAAATCTCACCCAATCGGTAATTAAAAGACAGAAAAATAAAAAAAATATTCATAGCTCTGTATTCATTTACAAGATGAAAATTTATAAATATTCCGTTTACAGTATAACTGGAAATTTTGATTTTAAAATTCACTAAGATGTTAAGTAATTATTTATATATTTGGAATATTTCACAAACAAAGGAATTTTTCTTATAATTTAGATAATAGCCTACAGGGTGTCCCTAAAAGGTGTATACAGAATACTAGCATAAATTCATTATACTAAAATATGAGGATCTATCTCATTTTACCTTCGTCAAAATTACAGGGTGTCAAAGTTAAAACTTTTTTATACTTTTTTCTAAATATTTAACCTAGCAATAAAATAATTTGCATGAAATTTGGTAATTGTGGATTTTTAAGGGAAATCGAAATCTTTACACAGTTTTGTTGTATACCGCAGAGGGCGCCACCAGAAGCACTTTACCTGCATCTAAAGCTTCATACCTTTTTATGCTTCAATATATTAAATTTCTAATTAAAAATTCTGATTACTGACCGTCGTTGTTCCAAAAAAGGTAGTAGGAGTCGCTAATAGTATCCTTTTCTGACAAAATCGAACTTAAATATTTTATTGTGTATTTAAACTTATCGTACACATTTTATCCAGGCTTAGGAGCGTGTTTAAGAGCCATCAGGAAACAACAACTAAAATTTACATTGCAGCAATGAGAAAAAAGTAAGAATAAAGTGGAAAATAACAATAAAACACAAAGTCAATATAACAAATGAAAACAGCAAATTTGTACCTATCTAAAAGGTTATAAAACTTAAAGTAAATATTCAAAATTACCTTACGTATTCAGATAATAATTCTAGGAAGAAAATTTAACTGTATCTTCTCCAACATCTCTACATTTAATCGTAAAATGCTTACTGAATTTTCTATTCACGCCAACTATTCTTGTTGGTTATTTACCGGTGTAGAGTATACCATTTCTTTAACAGTTCTCCATAAAAAGTAATCCATAGGCGTTAAATCTGGGGAGCGAGATGGAAAATTGGAAGGACCATCATTTCCTTTGTCGTTTCATTGATCTTAAAAATCTGCATTTAATATAAAGTTAAAGATCATTCAATAAATGTTCTTAATTTTCTAGGTAATTTAATCCATTTAAACGAGGTGGTAATATGTCTGGACCAATAATAAATCTGTCAATGATTCCTGCTTATACGTTAATTTTGAGTTCATTTTGATAATGTTGATAATATTGATTACATGTGGGGTTTCATCAGCATGAACATGATCGTTATGCAAATTTATTATACCCTTTATTATACCCTAATGGGAATGTTTATGTTCGAAGTTCATCAATGAATCGACAGAAGGCTAGTCTCAATTCGAGGTCAAAAGGTAAAAGCTTCTAAACTGCCTGGAGATGGAATTGATACATTTGTTCCTTTAAAGTCCTTAAAGTCCTTAAAGGGAAAACTGATAGCAGTTGCTCCAGATTAACAAGCATCAATAAAAAAAAACGTTTAATTAGAGTCAGGAACAGCTCTAGTACTGCTCGCGAGTAACCCAAATGACATAAAAGAAAGCACTCATTTCGTATAAGGTACGGCCATAACGAAAAGTGCTTCTGGTAGCGCCCTCTGCAGTGTTTTCAAATTTCGGTTTCTCATCATAAAAAAATCAAATTTCGTGCAAATAATGCTATTTCTATGATAAATATTTAAAAACGTATAAAAACATATAACTTTGACACCCTGTAATTTTGAAGCTATCAACTTTTTGTTTAAAGTAAATTGGGCTAGAAAACTTCATATTTTAGCCTAATAAATTTGTTCAGACCTTTCAGGGACACCCTGTATATATAGTTTATTTAGGGTTAACCATAAATTCAATTGTTCATCAACAGGTGAACTGAAATATCATCGTTTCTAAACATATTAAACAATCGATAGATTGTTTTTATGTAAAACGGCCTTTAAGGAAAAACCCAAAGACTATTTATTTACTATTTATTCCTTGATAAACCCTGTTGTTTATTTATAAACCCTATATATATAAAAATAGAAATTCTAAACCAATATTTTTATTTCAGAAACATAAAGTGATCAACAGAATCGAAGAAAGAATTCAAAATGTCGAAAGATGCAAAAAGTATGGTTTGGGACTATTTGGTCTTCATTATATTCGTGATAGCCAGTACGTTCGTGGCAGTATATTCGAAGTTTTTCGGACCCAAAGAAAAGACGAAAGCTGATTACGTTTTTGCGGCTGGAAAAGTATCAATGGCGGCCATGATGTTGAGTATAGCTAGAGGGACGCTAGGAGTACGGTCGTTTCTAGGTAAGTACTATTTTGTTTCTGTAGAATATGGTCTGAAACTATAGCACATAATTGGGTGGAATACCAAATTGAACTAAAAATAAATATTTTGTAAGGAGTCATCAATATTAGAGATATGATGTAATCAAAATATTTTCAAATTGTATTTAATACCATATAAAAAAAGCACATTTTTGGGTATGGACGCCAAATTTTGTAATATGTTACCTAACAATATTTTTGAGAAAAATAATCTTACAAAACGTTATTAAGCATTTTTAACAATATAAATGAAGGCTGCAAAATTTGGCATATATAAGTGATTATTTATAAAAATTCGACTTTACTATCATGGCAGAAGAAAAGGAAAAATTACAAAAAATGAAGAATAAATTGGAAAAAGCAACAAGCAACATGGCATAGAGATAATACTAAAGTGACAAATCTCCATTAAAATTGTCCTGATGATAAGAAGTGGTTGTTTTCTGGATAAGTGACTTGTTGTTCCTAAATGTTGATCCACATGAAATTTTTTAGTACAATCTGCAAAAAGAGATATAACGTCATCGTCAAATATAATTTTTTTTTTAATCCAAAAATACGTGAATTTTTATATATAAAAATAAAATCTAGATGTTTTTTAAAAAATCTGGCTGGTAGAAAGAAGCTTTTGAGTAAAAATAAAAAAAAACATTTCCTTATTTAAAAAAAGAAAAACTATTATATTGTTGATTTTTTTAAAAAATAGATGAAATCCGAATAAACAATTTAGTATAGCTCTTATATCATAAATTGATTTTATTTCTTTTTACTTCTAAAATAGGATTCAGCTCACTTTGAAAAAAGTTAATAGTGTGAAAAATACAGCAAAAATGTTAGTTATCCTTACCAGTTAATCGCAGGCGGAGCAAAAAACGTGATTAGAGTCTACGATTCTCAAATCACCTTTTCCATAGATCCATTTCTTCATCATTGGCATTTTTCCCGTAGCTTGTTACGGTATTTTTAAAATAAACGCTTTTACTTTCACACTAACGGCACTTTTGCAGGAACACAATCAATAACAATACTTAACCATAATAAATTTTGAATAATTCTGAATGAACTACCTGTTACACAAAAACAGATAAATTTTATGAAGCCATTTGTTACCGCTATCATCCCCATAATTGCCCTAATCCTTAACACCTAGTAGTCTAGAAATCAAAATTGCCCACTTGGTTAATATTTCGTGGTAAAATGCAGGTACAATTGAAAAATATTATAATGTTTACAAAATAATGATAAAAAAGCAATATTTTATTTTTAGATATGCATTTTTATTTAAGATATGCATTATTATGCAATATAAAATTCTGCTCTAAATATGCAGACATGCACTTTATATGCATTTTGCATATAATCCAAGCTCTAGTGGTTGAAAAAGAAGAAGAAGAAAAAACAAAGAAGAAAAAGAAGATCACATTTTATATCCAGAGTACTTACATAGTTGAATTTACTTTGTATATTATCGCATTTTTAAGTAATGGCCGGTTTTTTCTTTAAGCCATTCGCAAGAGAGCTAAAATGGATTTGAGTCCAATACTAAAAAAGTTCATACTCAATGACGATGGGGAGTTGCGGTAATGATAACTTTTCTTCAGGAGGTCGATATCTACAACATTACTAAATTTAAAAAGAATCACACGGAAAGCTATACAGGGCCCTTTAACGGTACATGTTGCAACCACGGTATCCTTCTCAAGTCATTATTTCCTTTCTCAACTGGTGTTATAAATCTATAAATTTTCAGTCTTGTGTTATGTTACTCGAATTAATTCTCTTAGACAATAAGGTATTATTCATATTTATCTAAAGATATTGTTTCCCAAAACCGTTTACTTTATGTTTATATAAACTTGTCGAACGTCCGTTGTATAAAAGGCTACTGCCGCCCTCTAAACCAATTCGCGGTCGCAAAGCGGACGCTTGTTTTGAATACTATTTCATTAATAAGCCAGTTTGGGTCGCATTTCCAACATACTGACCCCACAAGTTATGTCTTAAACAATGTCCGAATACCGACATCCGACCCCAAAACTCCACACACGGCTACCTGCTGTCGTATACTGAAACCTAAAACTTTATACTAAAAACCGTTTTTCCCACAGGTTATCCTTCGGAACTATTCTACAGAGGAGCCACAATGTGGGAGACCCTCTACGGCATGGTCCTGGCCTATCCGATAGTTTGTTTTATATTCGTTCCAGTGTATTTCAGCCTCGGAATAACTTCTGTTTATCAATATTTACACCTCAGGTTAGTAGAAGAATGTTTTTGTTCTAGTTTTGTAATATACAGGGTGAATCCAAAAGGTTAGAACATACTTTAATCCTTAATCAGGCTAGCGTGAAGTACGTAAAAGAAAGTTATATTTTATAAAAATTTATTTCAGTAAAAATAGTTACAAATTATTGCCATTTTTTTTATAGGAGTTTGTAATATGATTCCTGAGCCTGATAAACGTTTAGAACAGTATAGGGTGAAGTAAGGCATGTTCGTGATGATTATAGTTTTGTCGTTTGAAAGTAATGAAAATGGCATGCGTTTTTGCTATAATTGTGAGGGAACCTTACAGTTTGGCTTTAGATTTTGGTATTTTTTTATTAAAAAACTTAGAAACTCACTAATGATATGAGGTAGGTATACAGGGATTTCATTTCAAAACTAGCCACCCAAAATAACTTTTAAAATATCTTTAAAACAAAAAAAACACATTAATTTATATTTACGAGGGGACACATTTTACAAGTATCTCTAACCGTGCCGTTTCATCCCCTAAGCGGTGGTGAATATCACTTCTAAAATTTTAAATAGAAAGGGGTATCATGTGATAGCTCTTCTTAAAGGTCTCTTTTTTTCCAATCTTTTGACACATAATTTTTTTAAATCGGATTAATTTTTCACCAAGTTATGCCATTTTAACCTTTTAAATTAAAATAATTATTATTTTCATTGTATTTACATTATTAATATTTTATTTGCGTAATAATTACATTGTACTTAAATAAGATGTTCAAAATATCCGCCATTGTTGGCAAGGCAATGGTAAAGTCGCAGCTCGAATTCATCCCGCACTTTTTGAAGCGTCTCTGGTGTAATCCGCTCACACTCCTCCACTATTCTACGTCTAAGTTCAGGAATATCGCGATGTTGAGTTTTATACACCACAGTTTTTAGATGTCCCCATAAAAAAAGTCAAGGGGCGTTAGGTCGGGTGATCTCGCTGGCCATTATATAGCGCCCCTTCTTCCGATCCATTTATCTGGAAATGTCTCATTAAGCCAATTTCGTACAGGCAAGGCATAATGTGGAGGTGCTCCGTCCTATTGAAAAAATAGGTTTTCTTCGTCTAGTAACAAATTTCCATCTTGATCTATTTGGTTTTCTAAGGATTCGGTTATGAGAGGATTTATCAGATTTTCTAATAAGTTCAAATACAATTTCCCAGTTAAATTTTCCTCCATGAAAATAGGACCAATAATTTTATTACCAAGAATTCCGGCCCATACGTTGATTTTCTGAGGATATTGGCTGTGCTCTTTCCGAAAAACATGTGGATTTGTAATGTCCCAGTACCTACAATTATGTTTATTGACAAATCCATTTAAAAAGAAACCTGCCTCGTCAGTAAAACAAATATTTTTAATAAAATTATGGTCTTCATTTGCCCTTTGAGTCATTAATTCGCAAAATTCTAATCTTCTGTCATAATCATCATCAGCAAGCTGTTGTAAAAGCTGTATTTTGTAAGGAAAGAATTTATTTAGCCGTAACGTTTTATGCACAGAGCCAACGGAAATATTTGTTAATCTGGAGACTTTTGGTATTGATGTTTGAGGTTCCATGGCAAAATGACCTAAAATCTCAACTTGTGCAGCTTCAGTTAAAACTCTACGATTCCTTACAGTTTTATTGCACACACTTCCAGTTTCTTGAAATTTATGAACTAAATCCAACACATACTGATGCCCAACATTTTTATCGGGATGTCTCTGATTAAAAACACGAGCAGTTCTGCGTGTACAGCGTTGTTCTTCACCATAAATAAAGATTATTTCAATTCTTTCTTGTAAAGAATAAACCATTGTCAAAATTAAATTGTCAGTACACAACGAAACCAATAATCTACTAATAATAAATTGTTTTAATTTACGGTCAAAAATATCTTACGCAAAAAACATTTAAGGCTTTTTGCTAACTTGTTTATCTCGGTATTTATACTCATGCATTTTAATTCAATATTTTTCCGGTTTCTAGGTTATAACTTGGTGAAAAATTAATCCGATTTAAAAAAATAATGTGTCAAAAGATTGGAAAAAAAGAGACCTTTAAGAAGAGCTATCACATGATACCCCTTTCTATTTAAAAGTGATATTCACCACCGCTTAGGGGATGAAACTGCACGGTTACAGATACTTGTAAAATGTGTCCCCCCCGTAAATATAAATTAACGTGTTTTTTTGTTTTAAAGATATTTTAAAAGTTATTTTGGGTGGCTAGTTTTGAAATGAAATCCCTGTATTCGTGAGACAACAGTTAAGTTAGTGCTAAAAATTGTAAGATACGGTTTTATTATCCGTTACAAGTTACAAGTTACAATGTATCGCTTTATGTGTAAAATTTTAATTTGAGTTTCGTCGCAATTCCATATTCTACTCGGCATGTTCTTTATGTTTAGCTTCTGAATGAGTGTTTTATTTCTGGATTACCCATAGAGGCGCGATAAGCTGCGAAATTTTCTGGAACGCGTAAAGCAAGATTGTACCTCTTCTTGAATTGTGACCACCATTATTTACTTGCAGAATTGTTACCTTCCTTAAGAAAAATTTCTCTACAAGATTCTTTTGCCAAATCGAATGCTGTTTTTCTTCCATTTTAACTGTTAGACCAAAACTTAGTTCCTGCATCTTGACAAGATAATTGAATAGTTTCGTTTCAATTTCTGGCGCCAGTGCATATGGCCTTTCTAGTTTTGCAACTTGTTGCTGGTTGTCTTGGTTTTTGACAAAAAACCTTTCAGCGTACTCCATGGTATCCCAGTCTTTTTGCTTGCTCTATAGATTGTCATGTTTATTTCCCTTACTAACCTACCAGCTTCTATTAAATCAGATATTTCATAACTGCGATATTTTCGTTTTTTGTCTTCCATGTTAAAGCTGAAATTACAAACAATAGGTAAATTCGTGATAATAGGTAAATTCGTGATAATAGGTAAATTCGTGATATGTTCAATAACGTTTTTTTTGTATAAGGTTCGTAGTAAATCATAAAAATATAACATTCTTAGAATATGGGATAATTTTACTGCGTGCGAAAAAAGATATTTAAAATTCAACAACCCCAGCATTTTAACATCTTCAGCACATGTAAAAAACGTAAGAAATTAGCTCCACGGAATGAACAATTACGGTAAAACCAAGCCAAAATTTGTATATCGCATTTGACAGGAAGATTCCCCATTTCAGATACTATAATTGGTATAAATTTCATAAGCCTACCTTTCGGTAATTCCTTTTGAAACAGCAGATCTTTCTAGTTGCAAAACCCGCGAAAAATTACGACGTAATACGCACCACAAAGTTTTATAATGAGTGGTATGTTTGTGATATCCAAACGCGGCAGGTTGCGCCATCTAGTAGCATCATACACCTTCTACTAGCCAAGGCTTCATTTATCTAAAGCAATAGGCAACTTGCTGATAATTTTTTATAATTTTATCACGAACTTACCTTACTTCATCCTACATGGTGTCCCGAAATTAGACAGCGTAATCTACATCCTAAAATAGGAGTAAAAGTTCATATAAACATAGGTCCGAAAACGTTTCGTTTTCGAGATGCAGGGTGTTCTATCTATCTATCCATCTATCTGAATTAGGGCGTGGTTTAAAGCCCGCTTGTACTGAAGCTCTAGGCTTATTGTACCCCATGCAAGGTGTTACAAGTGAAGTCCATTTTTTAAATTATTTTCTAAAATTTCTACAGGTCTACTAATTATTGTTTACACTTTCGAATAAGATAACATCAACTTATCGTGAAATTTTCAAATGCTTTTCTCTTGAAAATGGTGCTTCCTAGTCAGATGCAACAAAAGTAGCTTTAATATAAAGAAAATATTGGTTTTCCAAATTTTATAGTCAAAAATGTTAAAAACGTATGGCAATTTTACCCTAAGTCCCCCTTATTTACCCACCTCTGATGATAATCAAAAACTGGGGTTTAGTCCATTAAATAGAGCGTAAAATGGTAAGCATTTGTACCAAATGTCAGTTATTTATCTTTAAACGTTTAGAAAATATTTACAAAAGTGTGTCATCAGAACTTCACTTTTAACACCCTGTATCTCGAAAAAGAAATGGTTTCGGACCTTTGTTTATGCTCCTATTTCAGGAAGTAGATTACGCTGTATATTTTAAGTGGAAATATAGTCCCCAGGATCTGATTAAGGGTTAACTATAGACTCCTGGGAAAAATAAGATGATTTAATTCAACATAACTATATCCAAAATTGATCGTTTTTGAAAAAAAAAAAAATAATATCGCGCATAAAAAGAGTGGGCTGTGACCTATTCCTTAGGCGTACTTTGCAAAATAAGTTTCTATAATTTAAATAAGGTCAGGGCATATAAATTGGTAAATAGGCTGGTGCCGGTACTGTTTTAAAAAAAAATTAATTAAGGACCAGGTGGAACATGTAGTTAGATAACTAAAAGAAACGAAAACTTTTAAACACGAGATATTGGGAAGGGGTGGAATGGGGGTGCAGTTTAGGGGTTGAAAGCGTTTTTTGCGTTTTGCTCAATACAAAAGTTGCAGATAATAGAAATATCTAAAACTTCTGTAAATAACGGTTTTCAACATAACCTCAAAATTTTTCGAGAAAATGGCGAAAAACCGGTTATTCAATTTTTAATTTTATTCTAGCGTAAAAATAATTTAATTTACATAAAATTTGGTGGAAGTGAAATTTTTTTAGTGTTAAATAAGCATGAATTTTTTGAATTTTAAAAATTAAGTAGTTTCCGAGATATTTACATTTTTCGAAAAAAAAATACTCTAAATTTCCACGAAAAACTTTATTGGTGTTTTTTTCTATTTTAATGTTTTATAAGGGCTCATTTTAACTGTTGAAATGTCTACTTTTAGATAGTCTATACATATTGATAGTTTATTTTTGACAGAATCAATAAAAATTGAGAAAAACTGAAAAATGTTAATTTTTGCATCAGGAAATTCTCAATATTTTTAATTATTTTTCTAACTCTTTAATTTTTTGTATTCTGTTATTAATAACTGTAACTCTTTAATTTTTTTGTATTGTGTTATTAATAACAGAACACAAAAAATTAAAGAGTTACAAAAATAATTAAAAATATTCAGAATTTCCTGACGCAAAAATTTACTTTTTTCAGATTTTCTCAATTTTTATTGATTCTATCAAAAATAAACTATCAACGAATAGACCATCTGAAAGTAGAAATTTTAACGGTTAAAGTGGGGCCTTATAAAATTTTGAAATCTTAATAAACGTCAATAAAAATTTTTTTTGAAGTTTAGAGCATTTTTTCAAAAAACTACTCGTTCGTTCAAGAACTATCTTTAAAAGTCACTGTCTTTACTATTGGTATTATTATCATGTCTTTTCTGAGGTTTATTATTGTACGATCTGATGAAGGCCAAAACAATTTCAAAACGTGGCTCTTATCATAAATTGTAAAAATCAAATATAGCCTACTATATTTAAGCGCAAAATTGCAATTTTTTATAGTTATGTTGGACTAAATCATCTTTTTGTTGTTTCCCATGAGTCTATAGATAAACTATTTTCCAACCTTTTGGGGATAGGCTGCACAATTGTGACGGAAAGATACAGGGTGTCGAAAATCTGTACCGATAAATAAAATATTTGAAAATTGATTATGTTATGACACTAGTGACATAAGAAATCGGGTAACATTAGGATGATATTTTTTTATATACTCTTTGTTTTTCTTATCTTCTTCCATCTGATCATTTATTATTTTTACCAATACATTTTATTTTCCATCAAAACGAAGAATACTTCTGAATCAGATGGATTATCCACAAACCATTAAGTTCTCATTTATTACAGATATTTTTGGAAACTATTTAAAAATTGTGAATAATATTCCTATATGTGATATCGCTCAATCTTTAAATTATGAAAAATAAGTTAAAAAAAGCTAATGACTAGCAGTACATCGGCTGTATGCATTTTATTTGAACATTGGTCTCCTTTTGACATATAGTAGGTTTGGGTTTGACATTTAAACTATAATAAATATAACCTTAAAGGACCTCGCACTTTTCTTATGCAAAGTGGCGACCCGTCTAATTTTCTGTAACTCTGGTATGTTGTTGTAGTCAACCTAGTAACCAAAAAAAGTAATCTTTTAACCTCAAAATTGTTAACGGGTACATATTAAGATAATGAAATAATTTATATGTGACGCAACTGTAGAATTATTGAGTGTTTGCAAAAATATATTGTGATTTATTCGTGAATCATCCTGTAACAGTAAATATTTTAAAATGTCATTTTTTTATGAACATCTGACCAAAAATTATATTAAACTTTTATAAACATTAAGTCAATCTATCTTTTCAGTTTGAAGAACAAATAACTTAAATCAGCAATTCTCCACTCTAACGCCCTGTATCTCGAAAACTAGTCAAAGTATCGGATTTAAAATTCATACTTCCTAAAACGACATTAAAATTATTATATATTGAGAAAATGGTTACATTTGACGGGGGGAAATTCGTGGTTTTTGTACTTTTCTTAATATAAAATACTTTCCAACAAATAAATCACCTTGTATGTTTTGAAGCTTCAAGGTAGATATAGTTTAGTGATATTACCTTTCCCAAAATTCAACTCATAAGTACAGGGTTTTGAATTAATCGTTCAAAAAATAATTTTATGTTGTGGTTCTCTCTATAAAACACCCTGTATAATAAATGTGTAATGTGCAATATTTTGTCGTCAAAATACCATATTGAGTAGTACTTTTTGAAAATATGCTTCTCTGACCGTACAGTAGAATTAGTGTGATTTTACAAAAAATGACCGTCATACATTTGTGAATCACCCTCGAGTTATACATATTTTTAATTGTACGTATGTACTGACGTGTTACTTAAACTCATAGTAAACGTGTGTATGCATCAGAAATTCAATGTAGCTCGTAAGGCTGCAAATAAAAATTCCCAAAAACTGAGCAAGTTTCAACTTTAACACCCCGTAAACAGGTATCAGAAGGTACCCGTCAATAAAAAGGTGTCGCTTCTGAATCCTGTTCGCTGCAGCGTTCCACAAGGATCAGTATTGGGACCAATTCTGTTTCTCATTTAATTCAGTGATGTATTTTATCTAAAAATTTTTGCAATTTTTAATGTAGATATCATTTTAATTTGGCTCCATAATAATTGTTCAATTTTGTAGAATATGATGAATCCAGCTAAATTAAAGGTTAACAATGGTGTGATGCTAAATTTAGCATTTCATAGAGTGAAAATAAATTCTTGGGTGTATGTATTGAATCTAAATTACCCATTATTGACAGCTGACATTGAGAATTTCTTTTCAAATTTTAAATGTGAAATATTTGAAACAAAAAAGTATTTTTTATGTAGTAAAACATGGTACGCAAAGGTAAACGAATTTTTATCTCATTAGTGTCATTTTTAATTCGTTAGATTAGCTGCATTTTCATTATACAGGGTGATCCATTAGTGTGAAAAAGTGCAATATCTCCGCCATTATTAGAGATATAAAAAAATACTTTCAGAGAACGGTAGACAGCATTAAACTACATATTTTAAAATTATTTTTGAATATACAGGGTGTTTAATACCTTCTCTCAGGAACCAACTTATGTTCTTTTTAATGGACCGCCCTGTATTTTATTTTATATTTGAATTACCCTCACTTTTCCCATTCTAAAAATATAAATTATTATTGGTTTATACAGGATATTTTGCAGGATATAATCAGTTTTGTATGAAAATCGTATTGAATTCAATGACCTATATCATGCAAAAGAAACAATTAACGACTAATTTTATTCTACCACAATTTTTTGATCATGGTCAAATTTTATCCGGAGACACTACTTTTTTCAATTCGCATCAAATCTGTACAGGGTGAGTCAAAATACCAAATAGATAATTTTATCAATTTTTTTAAATGGTAAACCCTGTATTTTATATCATCGTTCAAAAGTATCCTAATTATACTTTAATTTGACTTAAGGTGATTACAGCACCCCCTTATAATTTTCGGACAAGGATATCTCAAAAAGTAATTTTTTTAGAAAATTTAAATTTCGGCAAACTAAATTAGGCAATCGTATCTAGAATATGCATATTTTTTAAAGTTTTAATTCCTTCCATTTTCCGAGAAAAAAATCAAAGGGCTTTAAATTTTGAAATATCATAATGAAAATAAATGCATTCCTCAACAGCAGTATTCTTAATATAATCCCCAAATTTAAGCTCTTAATCTCTTGTTAATGATTTTTTAAAATTCGCCGAAATTAGTGGCTAAAACGCCTCGTTAAGTGCTTCTTTCTAGTGTAACGCGTCTGTAACTATCGTATCGTACACTATGAGTCATCATTCGTTTCTTGCAACGATTTACACCAGTTTAAACCAGAAAATAGAACTTAACAAGGCGTTTTAGCCACTAATTTCGGCGAATTTTAAAAAATCATTAACAAGAGATTAAGAGCTTAAATTTGGGGATTATATTAAGAATACTGCTGTTGAGAAATGCATTTATTTTCATTATGATATTTCAAAATTTAAAGATCTTTGATTTTTGTTCTCGGAAACTGGAAGGAATTAAAACTTTAAAATATATGCATATTCTAGATATTATTGCCTAATATATTTTGCCAAAATTTTAATTTTTTAAAAAAATTACTTTTTGAGATATCCTTGTCCAAAAATTATAAGGGGGTGCTGTAATCACCTTAAGCATTCCCTATACCAAAAGTTAATAGTTTTTAGAGATTTTTAAATTTTAGTGGTAAAAAACGATAATTCAGAAAATAATTGATAGAAAATACATTCTGTTTGATAATTAGTAATTATTACAAATTAACCAGTTGTAATTTATTATCGATTTTTACATTAAAAAAGAAAAAATATCAATAGCTAGCACAAATTCATACTTTATTATTTAAATGTAATTTTTGCAAATTATATTTAATTAGAATATTTTTTTATATCTCTAATAATGGCGGAGATATTGGACTTTTTCACACTAATGGATCACCCTGTATAGAAGTTTTCTATTTTACTGCTAACTCTCAAATACATTTCAAATATTTTTGTGTCCGTCTAGGTTCAAATCCCAGTTCGTGAAGCAATTGGCGTCCGGGACGTACATCGTGAGAGCTCTGCTCAACCAGGGTGTGACAGTTTTCACTCCTTGTGTAGCTCTTAACACTGTTATTGGAATTCCTTATTGGGCTTCCATCTCAGGCATTTCGATAGTCAGCATTATTTTCAATATACTGGTAAGTTATTGGGTATTTTGTTTTAACAGGAATCGTGAAAAGATTGACGGGTGTTTAGGGGGTGACATGACGTGCAGGGGTGTACAGGAATGTGGGATTAAAAAAAGAAATTTGTTTTTTTTATTCTTAATATGTAAAATTAAATATTCTGCTATATGGTCCCAACAAATAAATTAGTTTCAACCGATCGTTTTTTAATAAAACCATGTTGTTCAATGTTAAGCTTGTTTTTATTTCCTGATTTGTGGATTGGCACAACGAGAGTCATTTTCCATTTATCAGGAAACTGTCCTTTTATGGCGATATCTATCTTGTTCGTAAAACAATTTTTTGCTGCAAACTGGTTTATTTTGGGCAAAAAATTCAAGAGACATTTTTTGTTAAGAATGAAATAGGCTATCGGAAATAAATTTACCCTGTACAATCTAAGGAAAGTGGAAAATCCACTGTTTATTTCATAAAATTTTTAAAATACGTCAAAGAATTGTTAATTTTAATATTATTTATTTTTAAAATCGTGCATTTTCTCAATTTGGACTGGAGTAAAAAATTCCCGATTTGAGTTAACTTTTTCCCTTTTTGCCTTTTTGCGTTGAAAATCCCCATAAAACGGAAAATTCTCCTCCTGTTGGCAAGACTGTGAGAGTATTGAATATCTATATTCGTGGTTATTCCGCTCTTCTTTATCACTTGTCTAATCCAACGGCTTACAGATTGGACGCTTGCAGACTTATTAGGTTTTTTAAAAGTTAAAATTAAAAATCTGTCTTCTTTTTTAATGATTTATTTTTTTCTACGTATTCCTCTAGAGTACTTATCAACTTGTCACACAAAGTTGAGGGCAATCAGTAAATAATTTAACTTCTTAAACTGTTTGTACTCTTTTATAATTTCCCTACTACTAATAAAAGATTTTTTACAATGGATGGGGGTCCTAAAAAAAAATGTATTGTTTGGCAACCCTGTAAAATTTTTTTAAAAATATTCCAGGGTTAAATACACCATTACCAGGCCATTCTAAAAATGAAATAAAATACAAGGTATTTAATTTAAAAAATGTTTTTAAAGATTTCCTTTTTTAAACCATGTAATGCATGTTTACAAACAAAATTGATACGGATGAATTACACACTAATGGAGACACCCTGTACAAAATAGTTTTCCAAACTTTTCATGAATACTTGAACCTACTAGAATTTATGTATATTTTTAAAAATTAAATATTTGTTAAAATTTTAAATCCTGATAAATTAAAATTCACAAATTGTTGATATTTTGACGTACATATATTTTAATATACAAATTTTTTGTTTAAAATGTTATAGTTCGATAACGATTTGATAATTTAAGTTGAGTTTATATAAACATAAAATTATTAAACACAAAGATTTCATTAAATAAAAACGAAATAACTGTTGTGTAAAAACGAAATTATAATAAAATTTTGTTATTAATTTTTTAATGTACAGGGTAGGTCAAGATAACTGAATAGTTAAGGATTTTATGCTAGTATTCATAAAATTGAAAATATGCTTACTTTTCCCAAAATCTAAAAGAGGGATCCACAAAAATGTTTTTAAAGTAGGCCATGATCGGCAAAGTCAGAGATACGGATCATCCCAGATAACAATTATACATTCTTAGCATATTCTTAGTATATACTTTATTTGCATTTAGAATATACTAAGTATATGTTATGGAACGTTGTTTATACGTGCTATGCAGATACTGAGAATGTACTTCAAGTATGTGTACAGCATGCAATAAGTATCTACTTTCATTTGATAGTACGTTCTAAGTTTTTAAATTTAGCATATATACTAGGTATATACTAGACACCCTAATACAGGATGTTTCATTAATATTGAGCATTAAAAAATAAGTGTATATAATGAAAATCGTAACATTTTTTAAACCTTTTTTTCCAAAATATTCATACTTGTTTTTATTGCAAATCTTTCTTAGACCTTAACCAAAAAATATTTTCCTGAAAAATAAAAAAATATCAACCAACTTGGTACATATACAAATTAAGTATAGGAGTACATAATTAATGGAATATTTTAAATATTTTTGTCGAACGTAAAACATTAAAAATGGCATTCCACTAACAAAAACAAAAGTTGCATAAATTATTAGTATGTTTAGTGAAAGTTTAAATATATTTTTGTTAATTACTTACGAGCATTTTGTAGTTTTAGTCCTCCCTCAGCTAATTTTCTATTTCTTCCAAGTCAATCTCTGGCCTTACAGGATTGGGTAATATACGCCGACACTCGAACGGCGGATATTATTATTGAAATTTTACAGAAAGTTTCTAGACACTTTGAAACACACTATACATAACAATTTTGGATCCGCTGACAAAAAAAAATAACTTAAAATCCTTAAAAATTTTTGTCGGGTATCCATCATAAGAAAAGCGAAATAATGCATTTTTACTGATTTCTTGTTGTAGAAACGGCTAAATATCAATATTAGACAATTTATAGAGACATAAAACATACCAAATTTTTTTATAAAAGATTAAATTTTCTTATTTTTAATTTTTAAATTTGTTAGAAAAACAAATACAGTAAATTATTTTCAATGATAATTGACCATTCTAGTTTCTATTAATGCGGTGGTGCCAAATCAAGTAATAAAACGTATACGACAGGAAATATTTCGGTTAATAAGCTGTTTGGAAATGGCTCCAGGCCATACAGTGTTACATAGTATCTGGCCGGCAGGTGAACTTGATATTCATCTTTTTATTTCATTTCATGATGTGCGTTAATTACGTCATGTCGGAACAGTAGGTTTGTACAAAAGACTTTGTTTTCAATTTGAGCTGTGTCCAGGCCGTTGGAGTCTATGCCGGTCGGCGTAGCCAGGTATGAGTTAGGAAAATTAGTTGAAATTTGTTTAATTTTTCCTATTTTATGTATATTTTTTTTGCGAAGCAACTCGTGGTGACTCTATGCCGCACAAGTTAGTAAATTAGTTAAAATTAGTTTTATTTTTCTTATTTTATGTATGTTCTTTAAAAAGCAACCCGTAGTGACTCCAGGCCGCACAGGTTAGGTAAATTAGTTAGAATTTATATCATTTTTCTTATTTTATGTAATTACGCCGATGAGGATGAGGAAGAAGATCTTAATATTGGCATTTTTTAAATCGTTAGTTTTATTTTTCTGATACTAAAGTCAATTTGTTGGCCTGGTAAAAAACAGGGCATAGGTAAAATTTACCATTTACCGGTAATAATTGATATGGCAACATTCTTTTAGACACACATCACCCTTCCAATGTCAATTGTCATTGTGTTTACGAACTGAAACATGAGCTGAAATTAAGAAAATAAACTGTTTGCGAAAAAATTTGGAAAGATTTAGTTCAAATTTTTTAAACATTGAAATTAGAGCACGCATTTAAAAGTTTTAAGGTGAGAAAAACTATTTTAAAGCGTTTGCAGGGCAAAAAAAAGTATTTTGAAATGTGTTTCAGAGGGTCTAAAATGGACTAAAAAAAAAAAATGAAAAAATAGCCGGTTCGACTGATAGCGGAGTTTTTCCAGGATTCTTTTTATAGGAAGTGTGTATGTATTTCTGGTAACACTCTATTTTAGTTTTAATTCGTCATTAGTAACAACTATATTAATAAATTCACACTGGCTATTAATATTTGGGATATCCTTTATTCTAACACCACTTGTAGGTCCTAAAAACTAAAAATATAGTAAAATTTGTTTATTTTTATATAGAACACGATCCAATTGATTTTTATTAATTTATTTACCTATACCAATCTCAAGTGTGATCAAAAAATTTGTATGTTATGTCATTCTTCTCTTTTATTAGGGTTGTGAATGTGTTTTGGCATGAACACTCAACATTAGTGCGTTTACTAGTGAATTGCCAGATCGGCATCTGGGAAAAAAATGATATGGGTAGATATGTATATACACGTGTTTTTACATGTATTTGGTATTAATTTTTACCTATAACCATTTAGAACGTTCTAAGAATATAAGGTACATGCTTGGTATATAACTTTTAGTATCTTCTAAGGATATCCTGTTATAGCACGTGCTTAGAATATACTTTTTAGAATATACTTTCAAAGCATGTACTTAGTATATACTTTATAGAAGAATATAAACAGTACGTTCTTAGTATATTCATAAAACTTTGATGATATGTGGGATGACAGTGATACGAATACTTGTATTCTTCGACATGCATGAATTTTACTGTTGTCTACTTTAGAAATATTTTTAATGGATTACATACATACATTGCACTGTCTACATTTTTTATTTAACACCATATTATCAATACATCAAAAATGAAATGATTAGATGAAAACTATTTCAAATAATTTTTAAAACTTTTTTGAACAAATATTATCTAATATCAAAAAACTTCTCATTCTTCGTTTTGTTTTCTCTTTTCATATCCTTATTTTTATTATCTTCTTCCCATTAATTTTCCGTTCTATTTTGCTGCTTTTCGAGGTATTTTTCTTCTTTTTTATTGTTCTTTTGCCTACCTTCTTTCTTTTTTTCTTCTTCTTCTTCTTCTTTTTTATCATACTCTTCTCTTGATCTTCAATGGATTGATTTGCTGATTTATTTTCTTTATTACGGTTTAACAACTTTTACTTTTTCAATGTTAAATATTCATTAATTCTTCGTTTACATCTATAAATTTGTCCACTTTGTAATCTGACTCAGGGATCCTGGAAGCAATCCAAACTCCTCTCGATTTTTTTAATATTCCTTATATTAGTTTTGCTTTTAATTGTTATATACATAAAAACTTGTTGTTATTCACAAAGTATAGTGACTCAACAGTCAATCCTTGATAATTTTTTTTTAATACTAATGTTCTTTAATAGTATGTATAATACAGAGCTCAAAAACAGGTATAACAATTATATGTTTATATAAACACCTTTAATATTATTTTTATTATGTGACTAATAAATGTTGTCAACACAACTAAACTAGCATCATAATGTCGACTCATTTATTTTTATTTAATTTGCGATAATTAAATTATTTAAAAGATTACAATATATGATTACTTGAGTAAAATTGTAATTAAATAATTTTTTTAGACATGTAATTAAAAAAAAAATACCGCCGATTTATTTCATTTTATTTTCTTTTACAAATTTGCTTGTTTGGTCCAATATATTGAGATGTCGACAACATCTCAATTATTTATTCTTCATTCTTTTAGATCTATCATCTTGACTGCTGACAAAATCTTGTATCTTCTCTTACCAACAACTTAATGTGCTTTTTTAATTCTCTATTATTTCGTTTTTCTCATTTTGATAATTTTTCACATATATATTACTTGTTTTTTATACTATTTTTAATTAAATTTCCCCAAAGATTTATCAATCATAATAGTTGCTACCTAATTTCATAACATAATGCAGTAGAAAGCAAAAATAGAAATTACCAAGTAAATAACTACTTTCATTATTTGTAAGATTTGTTGCATAAATAACTTCGTCAGATTGTCCTAATCGTTTTAGTTTTCGAATGTATAAAGAACACTTGTTATCCTTTCCATAAAGGATTCATTGACTACTTCTTTTTTTAGTAAAATTTAGTTCATTTTCAGGGAGGTCTGAAGGCTGCCATTTGGGCCGATGTGATGCAGGGCGTTACTATGATCATAGTCAGCATGGCCATCATATTTCAAGGATGTTTCGAAGCAGGTGGTCCTGCCAGAGTCGTCTCGATTAACAAGGAGGATGGAAGGCTAAATTTTTTCAAGTAAGTCGAATTAAAATTGGAAAAACAATTGTATTTATAGTATATAATCAAATAATGAAAGAATAAAACGTAGGCAACGTTTGTTCTGGGTCACAATGTCAAAAGTCACCACGAGATGGTGTCACTTGTCAGTGTTTAGAATTGCTACTTAGATAAGTAGTTTGGGATCCAAGATGGTGGCCATCGTTTACGTGAACGAGTATAGGTAAACATTAAAGAGGATTATCATGCGCAGTGACAAAATCAAAAGGGCATTAACTTATATTTCCGCTACTATTGCTCAAAATTATGCCCAAAAGGACATTGGTGATTTTCTTTGCTATTATCGGTCCGTTTCATATGAAATAAACGACACTATAAAGGTAACGTGATATAGATTAACGCTAAAAAAAACAGTCATGCGCAGTGGCAATGCCAAAAGGACATTAACGTATATTTCCATTGCTTTTGTTCTAAATCGAATAAGAGAAACGGTAATATGAAGGAGACGTGATATAGATCTAACTGATTAAAAAATCATGCGCACTGTTTGAATCGAATAATGGAAAAAATGGAAGAGTAGGGGGAATGAAAATACTAAAACTACTGCTACATAATATAATACGCATCGATAAAGCCAAAAGGGTGCTCCACTCATATTGATCTGATTCGAATGGGAAAAAACAGCATTTAACGTAAATTTAGCCGTCATTTTTACAGTACAACGGCATTTAAATATTTAAAAAAAAAAACAAAATAAAATTAATATTTTTACATTTACAAAGCTATTTAAAACATTACAATAGTTATACTAAAAACAAAACCTATTTTTATCTGAAAATCAATCGTTTATGCAAAAATTGTTTCACATTTTGAGAATAAAGGCATTAAATTAAATAATTTAGAAACACTTGAAATAAATAGATTTAAAAATTCAAATATCCTCTTAAGTGATCAATTAGCTATTAATTAAATCTCTTTACCTGTTCTTAGTTTCCTGTGAGATAATCCCGGTAATGATATCTTATTGGAATTTTATTAATATATTTCTCTTGAGTACCTACTTTAACTAATTAGTTTATTTTGTATATACAGTGAGCACCATAAGTCTTACCCCCCCTATCTAACTCGTTACTGGAGTCTTGTTAGGAAAATCGCCGAGACACGTCGATTTTTGATTTCTACAATGTACATTTTTGTATAAATAGTTTACCCTTAATTTCATCCCTTACTGGAGGGGAGCAACCCTTTCGAAAAATTTAAATGGCATGGGGTGGTGAGTGATAGCTTATTTGAAAGAGGGTTTTATTCTCTATTCAACCGTGTAAAAAAATTTGAAATTTGCTTCATTAATTCTCGACTAATTGTTGTTTCAGAATAACGGAAATTAATGTAGCGCACTCATCCTTAGAATTAAAATTTGGCCCTGCATGATTTCGGTTTTGGTTCAGACGTGAAGTAAGACTTTTTGCCATTAGAAGGTCACTGTTAGTCTAGTTGCTTTCCTATTTTGTAAGGTTTTGTTATTTTTTAACCTTAATAAATCAACACGTAATGAAGCAAATTTCAAAATTGAAAATTGAATAGAAAATAATACCCCCTTTCAAATGAGCTATCACTCACCACCCCATGCCATTTAAATTTTTCGAAGGGGTTGCTACCCTCCAGTAAGGGATGAAATTAAGGGTAAACTAATCATGCAAAAATGTATATTGTAGAAATCAAAAATCGACCTGTCTCGGCGATTTTCCTAACAAGACCCCAGTAACGAGTTAGTTAGGGTATGACTTATGATGCTCACTGTATATTAGAAATGTAAATGAGTCACATTTGAAGAAGAAGTTGTACTTAGAAACAATTGTCGTGCAATTTTTAATTTTTATTTCTTTAAATAAAAGTGTGAAAATTTACTATGTTTGGTTTTTCTCATTTTAATAATATGGATTTTCATCAAGTAAAGGCCAAAACTATCAAGAAATTAAAATAAAATGGTATTAAATATTTACCACTTATATAGCCTATAAGTAAATACAAACAACGTTAACAGTAAATCACTAATAAATAATGTTCATATGTCTTCGTCAGATTCTTCGTTGGAATCATCATTACGATTAATGACGATAGGATTAATTTTCGAACATAAAACAATTTGTATTTCTCTTTCAAAATATTTATCTTCTACTTTTATAACATGATCGTATCGCTTTTTCCATTCCTCCATACCGATTTTGTTAAATTCTTCTTCTGCTAATTGTTTTACGTCTTCTAATTTAAAAAAAGGTAACATTCTTTTGACTGACATTATTCTTAACAGTTGCCCAAATCAATTCGATAGGGTTCAAGTCGGGGTGATATGGGAGTAACCGTAAAGCGGTGTGGCCGTATACTCGACACAGCTCATCAAATGCATATGTTACATGTCGGTCCTTATAAGATTTAATCAGTTCATATAACTCTGGTTTTAAACTTGTTGGATTAAAAGGTATGTTGTATTTTGTCAACCATTCGATCATATCATTCTTCAAAGAATTGGAATTAGGTGCTCGATTTTTCCGTACATTGTAATAACGATAACTAGCATTATCACAAACAATTACTGAATTAGGTGGAAGATTAGGTATAGTCCTTCCATTATCAATTGCAGAACACAGTTATGTGGGGAATCATCAATATTTAATATATACGCACGGTACTCATGCCAAATTAAGAAACGAAAAATAATGTTTACTCCCCTTATACAAAGCGGTAAATATTAAACGAACCATCAGTTGTTTACCAATGAAAACATCGAATCGTAAACTTAATTGCACTGTATTGGCCGAAGGTTTACGGAAGGCAGGTGTTCGAAAATATTCCTGGAAGACAGTCTGCGATATCAGTGGAGTACTGTCGTGTGGTGTGTTTTGTATGTGTGGTTGGTTTAATTTAAATTTCTTTTAATAAATATAAATATGGCGTTCTTTAGACCATGGGCGAATGAAGAAAATGAAATTGCACAGTGTAGTGAGATTAAAGACAGGTATGACTTTAACGATAAGGATTTAGATATACAAACACAACAAGTTATTTTAAATATATTCGAATGTCTAAAAAAGGAAAATATTCAGCAGTCTGATAATGCGTTCATAATAACAATTGCTGAATTAACTAAAGTAAATAAATTTACCGTTTATTCGGTAGTCACGAAAGGGGTTGCTGTGGATTATTCATAAAACCGAAAAACATGTAAAGAAAAACTGATATTAGTTGACAGAGCTACCCAAGATTTTATACGAAGGACAATTTATAGTTTATATAAGGAGAACAGGGTTCCGACATTGGAAGTAATACAGCAAAAGGTGGCAGATTTTCCAGTTTGGAAACATTGCGTCAAGTTTTGTCAGCATGTGGTTTTAAACACAAAAAATTGAATAAACAGATGGCAATCACCGAATCGTCAAGGATAGTTCAATGGCGACAAGATTATTTGCGTCAGATAAAAGGCTACAGAAGTTCTAATAGACACATAATTTATCTAGATGAAACATGGTTTGACAGTCACGATGTAGTAAATTTCGGTTGGGTTGGCAGTAGTAAAAATTGCTGTTTGAATGGGCCATGTTCTAAAGGGAAACGCATTATAATAGTACACGCTGGAAGCAAAGACTGTTTCGTGCCTAATGCTTTATTATTATCTGCTAAACAAATTAAAAACTGTGCAGCTGATTATCATGAAGATATGACTGCAGCATTATTTGAAAAACGATTTAATGAACAGCTTTTACCTTACATTCCACCACAGTCAGTAATCGTTATGAACAACACATCCTACCACTCGCGGCAACTCCTTAAAATACCAAATAGTAGCAGGAAAAATCTCAAATTTTAGCTTCTATGTTTGAAAAAGATATTCCTATGCCTGCCAGTGATAGTAAAAAAGGACCAACAAACAAAGAATTGCTTACTGTTATTAAAGGTATAAAGTTAGAAAAAATGTATTATATTGACAAGCTGTGCAAACTCTTCTCAGACTACCTCCTTACTATTGCATATTTAACCCTATAGAGTTAATATTGGCAAACTTAAAATCAGAATTACGAAAATGTAATCAGTCTCCAGAACTGAGTAAAGAAGTTGTAGAACTCGTAAAGAAAGTTCTAGCAGCAGACTGCCAAGAGCTTTGGAAAAACTGTGTTGAACATGTTATCAAAGAAGAAGATGAGTATGTAGTATTACCCTCTTTACAACCCATCATAATTCAACCAAATGATGACTCTAGTTCAGAGGATTCAGACTGCCATGATTATTTATAAACATACTTTAGAATTGAATTGTTTTATTTTTCTTTTGTTTTATTTGCAAAGAATTTATTTTCCTTTATGGTTTTTTCTTTGAAATTTCGTTTTCCAGAAAAAGATCGAATGGGGTACAAAAAGGGTTCAGTTCACGTCTGGTACCCTGTTTAAACCAAATGCCCTTACAGGCAGGTACACTTTACTTGCTTTTTTACGTTTTATAATTTAATATTCAGTTGTAGCAAGTTAACGAGCTATAATGATTTTTTTTAAGTCCAAGTAAGATTACAATTAAGTGCATGTGTCTAAATAAGGGCGTATAAAAACGTCCAATTTATAATTATTCGATTTCCTTTTAACGAATACTTTCTTGCATATGATATATATTAATAGTATTAATAAAATAAATTTATAAAATGAGGTAGGTATCTACACCTATGGCAGATCAAACAAAATTGTCGGTAATGGTTCCGAACGAGTTTTTATGATCTGCAATTGATAATGGAAGAACTATATTAATTTCTCTCTTTACAATTTGTCGTAATGTTAGTCCCTGATTTGAATATCAACAAACTATTTTTGATAAAACCCATTTCTCCCCCACCGTGAACTATAATAACCCTTTGGCCTTTAGAAATAACAGGAAACAAACCTTTTGTTGAATCGTCTGTCCAGTTCTTAGAAGAAGTATGTTCGCTGTGTAGGTATATATGTTTCATCTAAATAAACGATTGGTCTATTTTGACT